TCCTAATGTCAATTATGACCATGTATTGCCTCACCAAGGGCAGCATTTGGTTCACAAATTGTTTACGTGTCCTATAATTTATGCATTTTGCATTGTGTATAAAACCCCTGGTCTATCAGCTGTGGTGTTGGTTGCAAAATATCTGCTCCTGTAATTACCCTGATTGTTTATGTCATGGTAATGTGTCCTTAGACGTTGAGCCATGTGAAAAGATTGATACACCAAAAATGTAAATGGCAATTAGGGAATTTCATCAGGTGCTGAGTAAGATACAATGCTTGTGACAGTTTAATTCTGGCCTTTGCTCTGCTTCTCTTGATGTCTTCTTGAAACACCGAGATCTTAGTTGTTAGGGGAAACCTGCTTAGGGACAGCTGCATTAAATCAGTGTGGTTACTGTCCAATATGGGAAGTGAACACTCAGGTCTCTCACATGGATCACATGATTTCTTTAAATTGTCATAAAGAGAGTAAGATCCAAAAAATATTCTGTAAAAATATCATGAGCCAGTTTACACATCCAGTGTCATGCCTCTGGCATGTGGCAACACCAGGAGTGGCCATTAGATAGTGAAAAACTTCCGAATGCAGATAAAGCACTTGCATGGAGGCACAGCCCACTGAGATGATGCAACAGAAGCATGGCCTGGCATTCCCTGGTACGTGTGTGGTATCCTTGCTCATCCAGCTCTTGAAACAGGGGATTTGTGCTTCACACTGCTCACTATTTATTTTGAAAAGACCTGATGAGATCCTGTGCTATTGATTGTGTGTTGGTTCAGCTGCTGCCAGTGGTACCATGCCAGCTTGCACACCCAAACAATCTGCCGTAAATCAGAGAGCAGCCTTTCTCAATGGCACAGCGAGTGGCTGCCCAAAGCGCCTGGCTGGGTGCCCACCAGCACATGGTGAGGTGAGGGAAGAGATGATGGAGCATTCAAGCAGCATTTCAGACTGACCAGAATGCTGCACTGTGGTACATCTGGTGCAGTTCAATGCAGTGTTATAAAGAGTTTGAAACTGGGGGAGCAAATGTGGCACTTCAGCAGAGACAAAAAAAGCACAGGAGCACCAAATGGAGCTGTGGACAACATGGTTAAGTCACAAGCAGAGGGGAAGAGGACAGAGAACAGGCAATGAGCTGAAGCATTGTTTGCACATTTTGAAAGCTTCTGATGAGTGCAGAGCTGCATGACTTAACTGGTATTGGTTAAATAGTGACAGGCATTGCTGAACTTTGTCCCAGGCAGTTTGGAAACAGAAAGGTGGGTGGCACAGCACGTGCCTGTGTCCTGGGTGTGCTTTGATTCCCAACAGACAGAGAGTCATGGAAGGTGATGAATTACAGTATTTATGCATGGGTGTAAGAAGCTCTGAGGGCCTGGGGTGTTTACTGCACTTTCAGAAGAAGTCAGTTTATACTTCAGTGCATAAATATTGGTGTTATAAGAAATACTTCTGCTATCTTCATTTCAATAAAGCATGGTGTAATTGGGAATGAGAGTTGCTCTTGGGGCTGGTTCCTCAGCTACTATAGAGCTCATAATTAGAAAGTCTAATAACATTTTCAATACTTTAATACATTTAAAGAGCACTTTTTATTTCTCTCTGGCTCATTTTAAGTTCCATAGGTCATATGTGATTAAAAAAAAAATAAGATGGATATTTTTGCCAGTTATAATCCAGACATCACTCAGACCACAGGGTTTAAGGAGCGTTGCAGAGACATTCTGTTTGCCAGAGAATACAGGAAGAATCTGAGCCTGGTACAGTGACACAGATAATTTGTGGTGACTTGTCATGCATCCTGTTGCCACAATAGCATTGGCTTTGCTCTTACAGCCTTGCCTTCACTAAGGACAGTCTGTAGAACTCTGCCAGAAAATATCTTGACCCACACAGTTGCACTGAGCAATTAGTTTTATTTGTCTCCATATGAAAATCTCTCATTCATATGAAAATATTGGACACACAGGTGCTTTTCTTTAGTGCTCAGTGCTAAAAAAATCTTCTCATTTCTTGCACATTGCATCAGCTCAGCCTAGAACTTGTCTGAATACTTATTTTTCTGCAAGACTCCATAATATGCATATAAATAGATATTATGAAAAGAATTTTTTAGACTTCTCTTTATTTTTACATTCAATGCATGAGGACAGACAAGATGAACATTCATGACAAAATATAAAGACATATACTGTCCTTGAAACAGTTAACAGATAAAGTGTTTAAGAGTTTAAAAAAGTATTTTAGAAACATTGTATTTCCAAAATTTCTCATTACAGAAAATTCAACTCTTTTAGAAACATAGTGTTTAATATCCTTGTGCATTAAGCCATGTTATGAAAGTCTACAGTTGTTTTTTGTCTTTAAGAAATCTGTCTCTGCATTACCTAATAATCTTTAAGTAACCTATTGATGGAGCCAACAGTCTCCATAATACACAGTATACACAGTTACAAACAATTGAAAAGTTATATTACAAAATATACAGTAGTGCCTTTTTACATTTTTATAGATAAACATTGCATAGTTTTCAAATATGTAATATATAACACAATCACGAGCGTTTTTCTCTATAAGTTATGAAAAATTCTGTACACTCAAACAATTATAAATAAAGCGTAAATATCTTTTAGTAAGAGTGTGGGGGTGAGTGTACCAGGACATACCATGCTGTATTAAACAGAAATACTTGTTGGAATCTGCTTAACACAATGGCATGGTATGACCTGGAGTGAGGAGAGGAGATCACAGGGGAGACGTTACCAAGAAGAACCATAATGTACTGATATGCCTGACAATTATTACCCTGATTCATTTGTAAGAATTGCTTTCCCACAGTTATTATCACTGTTCTTGAAGGCTTTACTTCAAGAAGCAAAATAAGGTGCATGTTGTTTAAGAAATGAGTAAAAGTAGACTAAAATGTTTCCTCTTTCAATGGGTGGTCAATGGAAACGTAAGATAACTTGAAAACAATTCTGGATATTTTTCTCATATTTTCCCAAAGAAACAGGGCATGGGAAATGCACATGGAATTTAAAGAAACAGATTCAAAAAGTATCCAGAATTGTGAGAATAAAATGAAGAAGATTTTTTGAAAATATAAAAATTCTACTTTAAAAATGAGATTCCAACAAAATTGTTTCAACTATATGAAGCATAAGGAAAACAACTTTAAAAAGAACATTTGACATAATTCTGCTGTTTGGTACTACATTCCAAAAGAGCAGAATTATACCAAAACTAGGTGGTTTGGGAATTTCACTCTAATTCTAAGCATTTTGTCACTGGTTCACAATCAAAAAAAGTTAGAATCTCAGTTTGAATGCAATTTGCAAACACATAGTTTCCCAGTTTTAATGTTAGCATGTTAGCTTAAAAAAGTAGATGAAAACAATTTTCACTTCTAAAATGTATGCATTTACTTGATTGCTGAATTTAGCCTACTGAATTCCAAGCTCTGCAGAAAACAACTATTCAGAAGTAATTGTGTTCTAGCAGCACTGAGTAGCTTTGTGACACTAAGGGTCTTCTCAGCATTTTCGTTACACATTTAATTTAAAATTCAGCCACAAAAATGGGCTTTAAATGACACCTGGTTTACACTCAGCCATCTAATTATTTTTTTTTAATATTAGGGATTGGACTTCAGATATTGTCCCATACTCAGTAATATCTAAGCTGTTGAAAATCAGCAGAAGTACTGAGTGTGTCTTTGAAATGTTCTTCTCCTAACTTTGAAATTATGCCTTCTGTCAGCCCATGATTCAGAGCAGTTCACAAGCATTTACTAAAACACCAGTTAGGTAAAATTTGAGCACAAGCAGCTTCCTAACAAGTATTGCACTACCCATGGATTTGCTAGACATTGCAGTGACTGCACTCCTTATGGATTTTATTTGGGATTTGGATTGCTACATACAATTGCCAGTAAAATTCACATTATTTCCAAGTAGTGTGGTTCAGAGCACAGAGGGGTAGTGAAAACCCCTTTCTCTCCAGTAAACATTACCAGATGCCCTGTGCTAGCCACAATCTGCCCTGCAGGCTCTCTCTGTTGCAGGTCTAAAGCCATTCTCCACTGCTGAAAACTGAAAACTCCTTTTGTGGCTCAGGCAAATGGAGCCACAGCTGCACACAGATCTCCTGGCATCAGCCCAGGCTGGCACAGCTCCTTCCTCTCCTACTTGTCCTCCTTCCTGCACCAGTCCCACCCGCATTGTGGGATTACATGGTGACCAGGACTGAAGAGGACCATCTAGAGAGAGGAATGGCCACACAATCACATCCTCAGTCAGTCAAGACCTCTGGGAACAACCCAATGTCTCCATACACAGTTCTTAACATTCAGTGGGAAGAGGGAGCAGCAATTACCTTTATGGTCTTTAGCCTGAGATAACAAAAGATTATAGCTCCAGTCCCCACTGTTAGAGGAGACAGAAAGGGCTCCAAACGGGCTCATGTTAATTCTTGTGCCAGAGTGGGACTCCAAGAGCTTCTGAAGGATGTCCCAGCTTTTCATTTTCCTTCACACACATAGAATAAATTTTGTCTATTCTAGGAAAGCTACTGTTTTCCATTTTGACCACTGCAAACAGGCCAATGAAAACATTAGGATTCCCTTTTTTTTTCTTTTTTTCCCCTTTCTTTTTCCCTCCCCCCTTTTTTTTTTAATTTCAAGGGCTTCTTAGGTATTATGAAGTAATTTCTGCTGAGTCAGTAGGTCAGAAAGGCTATTCTACACGCGTATTATTTATTGGTTTTTTAAAATTTGAATTGATTACCACTTCTTTCATCCCTCTCTTCATGGGACTGCATCAGGATTTCTTTTGTTTGCTACTGATAACATTGGAGGAAAGTACCACATAGTAGATCCTCTGAGAGCAAATCTGGTATTAGCTTTGCAACTGAGCATAGATTTTTTAGGGACTCTGTCAAGCTTGTTTGACTCTCTTCCTTGATGAGTGATGTATCACTGGCTTCAGAAACCTAACAAAATGTTCACTCTGTCCTCAGTGCAAGGTCCAAGGTGGTTTTGATGAGCCTGGCTGTCCTGTGCTGTATCTCTGCTAATATGCATGGATCCAATACTATAAGGCTGTGTTGTTTGTGCCTGTTTTGTCAACACAAGCTACAGCTGGTGCCCTTCTTCCACCTCGTTCTTCATCACCCATTGCCATGGTGTTTTCATAAACTTCCATAGTTTTTAGCTGCTTGTCTTTGGCACCCTCCTGTTCAGCATTGACTTTGCAACACTTGCAGAAGCCACAGCAGTGTTTCCCACAAAAAGCAAGTGAAGACATAATTATATTGTCCCAGGGCTCTAGGGAGTGCATCCAGATAGGTAGGAAATCCCAGTTTTGGAGCTTCTCAGGCAGTGAATGTGGTCGCCTTTTCTGCATAACATTAATTACAACCACAGCAATAAAAAGAACAAACAGAGGAAGGCAAACACCCAAAAGGACTGCCCAGCCCGCCAGTGACAGAGCAAATACAAATAAAGGCAACAGAAAGAAACAGAGGAGAAGATAAAATATAGCAAACCATCTGTACTGGGCTGTTATATTTCCCAAGGTCTTGCTCATGCGGATTGGCAGGCGGGTATAAGGTATCGGATAAAACAGAATAATCCCAGAGACATTGAAGAAAAAGTGGCACAATGCAATCTGAAAGAAAAAACATTCGAGACATTCATTAACTAAAACACCATTAAATACTCCTACCCTCATAATTACTTCCAGCTCCCAGGAAACAGTATTGTTGTCAATAAGGTGTGGAAACCATTGGGTTCTGCATCCATAAATTGTCAATGAAAATATGGGAAGCATAAATTTGATATTGCACAGAAGCTACAGAGAAATTTTAATGGTACAAACTTGGATTTTACAAAAAATTAACATTTATAGACCACTGAGGAGATTCCTGGAAGGGGACTTTGTCTTTGGGTCTTTACAATCCTTTGATTCACATACTTCAAAATTTTTTTAAACAAAAATTAGCATTAAAAGGCACAGGCTTGCTAGAGCATACAGGATTCACTTAGACAGAAAAAGTATATATTGAACAAAACAGTACATTCTCTGCTCACGTTATCCTATTTTAATTTCGCAACTGTTATCAGACTAAAGTAAATATGAAAGTACAGGTGTTTATTTATAAAGGACATTATAAAACCAGTATGTTATCATGAAATCTGAGCTTTATCAAGATAGCATCTTCTCATGATTACATCTGTTGCCTGAGGACAATAAAATGACTTCTGTAATTTTCTTGATTTATTTTAGCTGGTAAAAATTTTCCTATTCACCAAGGAAACGTCATAATCTTTTCACTCTTAATTGTAAAGCACTCATTCAAATGTTATCTGCTGCCAGGTTCTTTACTGGGCGGAAAATGGGAGGTCAAAGCCAGGCTTCCTACTTTTCAAATAGTTTGAGGCAAAAAGGAATTCAATAAAACCCAGTCAAAGTACACTTACAAGGAGAAAAATAGATACCACGATGCTCACTGCAATGTTGGGTAGATAGAGAGCTTGCCAGCTTAAGGATTGTGCAACCTTCACTTAGGTTACAGGAGTCCCTGTACAATTCATGAACTGACTTAGGATCCTGAGAAGAGAGCTTACAGAAATCAATAACCCTCAGAGAGTTCTCAGTATGTGGGCACTGAACTCCAAGCAGAAAAGACTCCATGCTCGGGGGTCAAATGGCCTCCCCTGTCTCAGTTCTGAATCAATCCATGCAGATCAAGACAATTTCTAAAAGCAAGGTAAGCTATATATTGACATTCTGAGAATTTTTAATGCAACCTTTTGCTCTATCAGTTGCAGTGAATGCATTGTTTTTAATTGCACAGACAAAATTAGGCACAACGTGAACAGCACATTTGCATCACAGCCACTTCTGTCAGTTTATTTTCAGAAAACTTACAACTTTTAAATGAAATCAAGAAAGCATTGCTTTATACTGACCTGTAATGAGTATTTTAATGTACTCCCAGGGCTTGCTAAAGCTGCAAGTATAGCAGTTGTGGTTGTGCCAATGTTGGCTCCCAAGGTGAGGGGGTAGGAGCGCTCAATGCTTATAACGCCAATGCCTGGGAGAAAAGAAACACAACTCAGTTGGTTTCAGAATGATGGAGAAGATAAAACATGGGGATAAAGAGCACAATATTTACAACTTACCAACAAGGGGTGTAATAGCAGATGTGAAAACAGAACTGCTTTGGACAACAAAGGTCATACCAGCCCCTGCCAGCATAGCCAGGTATCCAGCGAGCCAAGTGAAAGGAAATGGAAAATCTAAAAAATAGAGGGAGAACGCTGCTGTTAGCACAACAGCGTGATCTATGTAACAATAACACAGCAGTGAAGGCTGTTAAGCACTTAAAATGTAGTTATATTGTTTACATATTGAGGCTCAAATGATGATTTGGGGTCAGTTCTACTATTTTGATTTATCCTGTTTGCTGTGTGCCTTCTACAGCCTTGCACCACTGGATACACTTTGAGATGGATGCCAGACTAGGCAGACATTTGTCCTGACTTGGGGTGGCATGTGTGTTGTGATACAATTAGGTACCAGAAATGTTTCCTCAGAGGTCAACACAAAACTTTCTGGGTGTTTTGAGAGCCTTCATTTCAGCAACCAGGTACCCACTGCATGGATCAGATCTTCAGAAAACTCTGAAGACCATCCTGAGAGAACCAAGTTGTTTGCTCTAACTAGTTCCAAGCAGATTATCTCCTAAAAATGCACTTGTTAACTCTTGCAGAGAACAGCTAATTACACTGATTAGAGAAACTAGGCACAAACGTCGCCTGTAGTCTGCAGATTTATGGAGAGAGCTGAGAAGTGAGGACTTAATCAGCTGGTAAGATGCAAGAGAACACACAGCAGATCTCAAATTAAATAAGCAGTAGCTGTCAGCTGTTTACTTTCTACCCTTGTTTTTAATTTGGGCAGTGTTCTTTGCCCAGGAGAAGACAGCTTGGGGACCACTTTGTTGCCTTCTGTATTTCTGTGTGCCCTCACTTCAACCACAGCCTCAGATCTGTGCCAGGCTTCTTTTCTCTGCTACAGCTTCTAATCTCTCCATTAAGGAGATATAAAGGAAAAGCAGCCTTGTGAAAAAGACCCGTAACATTTGCACTCAATGGATCCAGGCTGAAAAAACCAGCTGGACAACACAGGGAAAGACAGAAAAACGCCACCATTCAAGGCTACCTTATCCTGCTGAAGAGAGGGTTAGGCAGCAGAACAGGATAAGATCATTAATTACTACAAACTTTTTTCAACTTACTTTAGAAGGAATATGCAGGTCCTATGCCAGAGCAGGCAATCACAATCTCAGCACTTTGGTGCTATCTTTTGAGGATGGGAAGTCTAAATTTCTAACAGCTAATGATTATACATCTAGAAACAGGGCCTGGACTTTAGTCTCTAATGTTGTTAAACTGCTGCATTTCTCAATCAAGCTGTTCACTAATAGGTTTTTAAATTAAAGAAAAAAAATGCTTGTGGGAAAAAATGTTGGGCAGTATGCATGATTTTCATTCAATAGTATTTTCTTTAAAATATTCCATAATGTCTTCCAGGACAGGAGACATCAATAAACATGCTCAGTGTCCTTGTCATTCCTAAAACAATCCTCAGGAAAAGCAGATAGTTACCAGTGTTGATTGTCTTCTTGATAACACTCGCCACTTGTCCTTTAAGCACAGAGTTTAATAGCTTAACGATCATTATCAAACAGGAGCAGAGAACAAGCAGGGACAAAGCCAGAAGGATGAGCCCGATGGCCAGATCAGGCAGGTCTGAGTTTACAAAGATGTGTTGGCCTGAAAAAGAAAAAGAAAATGAATTAGCCTACCCACATTTTTGCCTGTGATCCTAAGCCCAGCTCTGGTTTTCATTCACTCCCCTAAGAAAATTGGACCAAAGCAAACACAACTTGAAGGGTTGATGCAAAGAGGGAAATGCCACCTTCCCTCCTCCACAAAAGCCATGTCTGAGTGAGGCAGGAGAGGTGCCTTTACAGAAATGCTTATAAAATACACAGCGAGCACCCTATGGGGAAGGCAGGAACTGGGTGACCATGTGCAAGGGAGAGGGGTACAAAGGCAGGAGAACATTTTGGAGTGCTCAAGCTGCAAGGTGGGGCAGCTTTTCCCAGAGGTGGCTGCATGCCTGAGCAGGGCTGTTGAAAGTCCTGCAAGGCATGCATAGGGATGGGATATCCTAGCAACCATTACAGCAAAGTAACCGTAGCTCCAAGGCATCTGAACATTGAGGGTGACATGATACTGAAGACCTCAATTACTGGTATCAGGCGGCATGGAAAGAGATCCGCCTGCAGCCAGATACCATGATGGTGCTGTAACTCCAGCTGTGCAGCTGTAGCAGAGCACAGGCTCCTCAGGCAGCACCTGCAGCAGTGCCATGTGTCCCTACACTGGTGAGGGCTTCTGGACACACCTCAGAAGTGGGCTGTTAGCACCATTAGAAAGCTATATCCTTTTGTAAATACATTGCAGAGGAGAAGTTCTACTACTTACATTTACTGATATAGTCTGTTTCAGTTATATTCTTGAGGGTCCATGTCACATTTCCTTCAGTCCAGCAAAAGTCAGGAGATGTGCAGTTTTCGGAAGGTGGAATTGTGACATTCTGCAGTGTCTAAAGATTGCCAGACAAAGCAGATAGTTCAGTCATCTAAATACTTTATTAAAAGCTCATGTAGAATTTTCAAATTTTACTGCAACAAGATTCATCAGCTAAAAAGTCAGAATTGTAAGCTGGTACCACATTAATGACATGGTAACATTTTGCGTTCTAAACATAAGTGATGATGCTGTTACCCAAGTCAATCTTTACAGCATGTAAAGAATAAAATATCCCCAAAATCTTCTACATTATAATAACCACAGCACCAATCCACTAATATCTAAAGAACTTAACTACTGATGACAGTTTTTGTGGAGTGAGGTTCATGTTTTGCTGCAGTTGTGGGACAGTGGCATTCCTTTTCCAGCCAGTGCGACAGCTTCCTTGATGAAAGAAAGACCTCTTTCCTGACATCTCAATGCAGTGCATGGTCTGACGAGTACTGCAGGACTGTGAGTCAGAATGCTACAACACCAGTGCAGCCCCTCTTGCTGGATGAGCACAAAGCGCTCGAGCTGATTTTCTGTGCCTCAGTTTCCATGTCAGTAGAAACAGAAGTGCTGTTGCTACTTCAATTTTCATGTTCAAGGGCTGTCATTATAAACACTATGATTAGTGTTACTAAATTACTGAATTTCTGTGCACACCACAATGAAAGCTCCCTTTCAGGCCCTCCTAGGCCAGACACACTGCATTCTGACACCAGGTCCATAAGTCATTATGCAGATTAAGGAAGAGTTTGCTGACTGAGCTGTACTTCCACACAAGAGCAGCTAACAGCCAAATGGACTCTGAACCATGCTCCAAACACGAGGTATCTTTCCAAAGTGCTTGAGTGATTTTCTTTTGCAGAAATGGGGAAAGAGAAATAATATTTTTTTGCTGGGTACTGCCTATGAACACCTGCATTTGTACCTCTCTCCAGATGATGCAGGTGGGCAAAACTGGGAGTGGATCTGATGCCCCCACATCTCCAGGGAGCGCCTGGGCTTCAGGCACCCCGTATCTTGTAAACCTTTACAAGCACAACACAGTCTTGTTTCTCACCTTCTTGAATTTTTTTCAAACATCTTAGTTTCAAAGCAGCTTCACTACATCAAAATGTTTGTTTTGCTTTAAAGATATGGGGTCTGCATGTATTTATCCTTGCCATGGGTCTGTTTAACAATTTTTGCTAGAAATTAGTTTAACCCAGTAGGAGTGCAGATAATTTAAATTATTTTCCTTTTTCCCCATCAAGGTCAAGTCAAAATTCTGGAGATTTCACATGTTTTCATAATTTGACTGTAAGCTTGAGCAGGAGGTACACAGACAAAATACAGGCAGCACAGAAAAACCTGTATCTAGAAGTAACCATTTCCCTCAGCTATACTTTCTGTGCATTTTCCTGTCTTGTGTAGGACTCGGGGGCTCAGGCTGTGCCTGAGGGGCAGTGGGGGCACCAGGCTGGGGCTCTGACCCGGCTCTGGCAGTGGCACAGCCAGAGACACCCGCAGACTGCGGCGTAACCCGAGCAGGGTTTCAGGTGAGCGCAGCTCGGCACTATCTCCACAGGTAGCGTTTCACTCCCCTCCACACCCTCATGCAATAGGAGCTGAGCACTCAATTTCAACCTCCACGGCCTGTCCTTAAGTATCTTCTGCCTCAGGACTTCAGGAATTACTTTTCTATACGTGCCAACAGGTAGAATACTCTAATTAGAGAATCAAAGGATATTTAATGCTGTAATTGCTAGTTAGCTGAGCAATGCAAACCATACACTCAGCTCCATAGTTTGCCAAAATATTCATTGGTGTGGGTCTGGGCAAGAGATTCCTGCAAGCCGTAGAGCTGCTTGAGTGAAGAGGAACAGGACACAGCCCCACAGAGGCTTTCTCCAAGGGCAGTTTTCCAAGAAAGCTGCAAATAGCCAGCTACCACCAGATCACCCCAACACACGTAAAACTAAAGCTGATTAGATCAGTAGATAAACAGTGGTTAAAATGATCTTTTCTCTGGCCTGTGGTGCAGACTTTTTCCACTTTCAGGGAGTTGGTAGGACTATCAGAGTTTCAAGGCATTTGGGTTTGAAAGGAGTAAAAATCTTGGCACCAGTCCACCAGTTCTGATAGGCAAGGGCCTGCACAGTACTGAAAGCAGCCAGGTCAAGGTCACCACTGGTGACCATGCTTGGTTTAAGTGGAGCAAATACTGCATTACATTTTTTTCATTCTTTTTCTGCTGATAAAAACCACACCCTCATTAAAAAATCTAATTACGCAATCCTGTGATAAGGAGCATCAGCTACAGACCAGTAATATATTTCCTGAGTTACCTGAGGACAATTAATTTAACATGATACTCACCACATTGGATTCAGTGACACACCAGATCTTTACCAGGCTTTTGTTTTTCGCTGATTCATCATTAGTGGCAATTGCATTTATTACTGACTTATCAAGCTTAAAAAGAAGAATAAAAATTATTTTTAAAATGCATTATTTTCAGCTTGTATCACATTCTTCTGTTCAGCTTTATTCAAATAACCCCCTTTGGAAGCTCAGCCATATAAAATCTGCCTGACTCTAATGCTGGAACTCCTGCCCAACAGGTGGGAGAGGGGTTACTCCCAGGAAAAAAGGTACAACTCTGCATGAACAAACCCTTTGTGTCATTCTCCCCACATCATCCACTACCTCATCTCACCCTTTCTGTTTAATCAGCTGCTCTGACACAACTGCCTGACTGTATTTACTGTCACTTCAGAAGCTGTGTGCATCCCCTGGCCTCTAGATCCACATGATTATGTCCCATAATCTCAGTGTCATCATCAGGTCCTGTGCTGATCCTGTGGCTGTGGCAGGTTGTCTCAGCTAGTGCTCCCTGCCAATGCCCAGGCAACAGGCAGCCTTCCCAGCCATCCCACACGGCTGAATTTGCCCTCACCTGCCTTCCCAGCCCTCCTAGCTAGGTCTGCCATTGATACAGTGAAATGTGGAGGAAATGTAAGCTGGAAACAGAACTGGGGTTTTATGAAATGTGAATAAAGGGAAGAATTCATCTGCTAATGAACTTTACCCCAAGGACACAGAGACAGGAGTGGGAAGCCTTCTCATACTCAGAGCATTTTGATTAGTTGTGACTGAGCCAGGTAGGCAGCTTCCTTGGAGTGAGAAAGAGCTTACCTCAATGATGAGCTTTGTAAAGGGGTCTGTGATAACTTTTAGTAGCTCTGGAGCATCCTCACCACTCTCAAGGTGAAAGGACTCAACTATAACATTGGTGAGATGGAAGAGATAGCCAGTAATGACTTCAATGGGTAACAGTGCAAACACAGCTAGCCAGTTAAAGAAATCATGGATTGTTGCCCCAGCAAAGGCCCTGCAAGAAGAAATTAAAAGACAGAGCTGCTTTTAATTAAACAAAATATATATAGCATAAATTAGATATTAAGTGATAAAAGTAGAGATTAAGGGCATTTCAAGGTGGGAATAATTTAATTTCTGGGGTCAAATGTGATAGCTACTTTGTTATGGAGTGCTAGGTTGGCTCCATACTGTTGACCAATTAAAGAGCCAGACAGGTGAGTAAAACAAGAAAAACTAGAAAGGACAAAAATTATCATGAGGCTGCCAAGAGTACTTTTTTGAAGAAAGAAGTGGCTGTACAGCCTGCATGTGTTTTGCCTCTCACCCGTTTTTAGTACATTTTTAATCCTCAACCAGTCATTGCCCCAAGACCTGTTCTGCCTGACTCCTGGGGCAAGAGGGCTTTGCAGCTCTCCCACAGGTTTCCGCAAACTGTTGGTATATAGGTCCCTTCAATCTTCTCCTCCAAAGGCTGAGCAGCCACAGCTTGTCCCTCAGAGGCTTTGGCTAAGAGTATTTCAGTATGCCCAGTGCACCAAAATGACAAGGCAGCAAAGGCTCCTATCACTCCCAAGGTTACTGCCCATCTCCAGTCATCCTCCTTGTGCTCCATGAGCTCTCTCAGTGGCAATGTCAAGTGTCAGTCTAAAAGATGTCACTGTATATATTTGACAGCCAGAACACTTCATTTCTGTACAGTTACCAACTCTGGCTTTCTGCAGACTTTAAAAGCCTTCAACATTGAAATCTCTTTCAAGGAAACCAGACCAAACTCATGTAACATTAACTTCTTGTACAGCCCTCCCATAACTAGCACAAAATAAAGGGTGGGTGGTATAGCAGGAGCACCTGAAAATTTATCCCTGTGTAAGATCGTTACAAACAGTGAATTCTTACAAACCCACAAAACTTTTAAAGGAACATGATATGTTTTTCTTCAAGCATATGAAGCCATACATGTATGGCCATGCTTGAAGACTTTCCATGGCCATACTTGTGACTTTCCTGTCTAGAAAGGTTGAATGGCTGTAGTAGTGATAGGGAATATAGAAGAAGACCTACAAAAATTAAAGAAATAATTTTACAGATCTAGAGTTTAAGTACAATACCTTCTAAATTCATTCCTGTCCCCAGCTTGCATAAGTGCCACAATTGTGTTTGTAACTGAGGTGCCAATGTTTGCTCCCATGATGATAGGGATAGCTGCTCTAACAGTCAGCACTGGAAAACAGAAATGGAAACACTGACTGAAAAAATCATATTATCAGAAAGCTCTATGCTTCAATGAAAATTTCTATTACTATCAGTGAAACCCTGACTTCCCTTAATGTCAGTGTGATGAGCTGCTGCAATCCAAACAGGTTTGCTTTAATCAACCCCTCTGGGAACATGGCACTCCCATAGTCCCATGGTCCCCACTGACACTATGGCCCATGGTTATCCATTTTCATCACATGTCAGAGGGCCAGAGTAAAATAAAGTCTCTTCTTTCCCAGGCATTTACCTACTTATTGCAGAATTTTGAAATGATACCACAGAAACAATGAAGTTCAGTAACTGCCTAACATGAGAAAACAATGCAGATAATTCCAAAATTAAGTCATTCAGTGTCAAGGCTTCTAATGATTTTCATTGCAGTTGTGATTTTTTTATTATTACTAGTACTACTACTACTATTACTACTACTAGTATTAATACCATTATGATTGCTTTTTTAAATTTGATTTTATATCAGCTGTGAAAACACTTTCCTCCAGTCTCTATTCTTTTACCCAAAGTTTCTACAATTTGAACACAAGTGGGAATGTTTGCACCTGAGACAAAGTTTATGAGTGATCTCTAGGAAGATTCTGTAAGCAGACTTACGTGTGGAGGACACCATGCTGACTATAATGGATGAGGAAGTGCTGGAACTCTGGACCATAACAGTCACCAAAACTCCAATCACCAGTCCCGCAACAGGATTCGAGAGCACTGAATCATCTTTAAATATGTCCCCTGCTGCTTTACCTATTAAAAAAAACATATTCTCAGAGTGAGGGAAGTACAAGGTAAAGTCCATAGAAATTATCAGTGTTTAATTCAAGATCATTCAGCCATTTAATTGCTAGATATATAACCATGTTTGCTATCCCAAAAAAGTAGGATGTAGCCCAGGGATCCATATTCATGTCCTGGACTCTCAGCTTCTCAGTTTTTTAGAGAATACTTTCTATTCTCTCATTTCAGTGACTATAAGCCTTGCTGAACTCTGCAGAGAAGCATATAATGCCACAGCCATCAGCAGAAAGATTGTAGGGCAGAAAACCACCCATACCTTGATTTAAATGTTATTACTTGGTATTTTTAAGATACGGAATTAAGGGAAATGCTTTTACTAATACTTGTTAATTCAGTTTCTGTACCTTTCTGTGTTTGCAAAATACTTCAACAGAAGTGCACATATTTCTCTGATAACCTGAGTCCATCACCTGAATTCAACACTTGGAGGTAAATGTAAAAAATACATTTCAATAGTTTTCATCTTTGAAGGATTTGGGGGACATTTCAGTATTAGTTGGTCAATAGCACAAATTTCGTATTTCACCTTATTGAAATGTCTTTTACATGAGACAGATTTATGTACAGATATATTTTTTTAAACTGTCACTGAAGTAACAGGAAGCTACTGGGAAATTTGGGCCAACAACCCCTATGTCAACATCTCTTTGGAATTTGAGAAAGAAAGACCCTTTCAAAGAAATGAAGGTCAGTGTTTAATCTGAATCTATGTCTCATCACATATGAAATATGTTCTTGAAGAGTGGGAGTTGTAATTAAGTGTCTTAGACAAAATTTACTGCCTTATTAGTTTATTCTTGATATTTTAGATATTTTCATACCTCCTACCAGTTGAAAAGCAGAGCTCAGTACATCCAGAGAACACACGAACATGTAGAGTAATCCAAGCAGCATAATGAACTTCCCTATCCCATAGAGTACACGAATGACTTTGCCTTTTGTATCCAGTTCTGTAAAACAAATATATTATGTATAAAAGAATAATTTGAATTTTTCTCTGGAATATTCTAGTGCACAGGAAAAGACATTGGAGACAAAGACAGTGACATGGCTCCAGTGTGTGATTAAACCCAAAAGAATGTTCTTAATCACATTTTAACTGCAGAAGCAGGTATTTTGTTTGCCTACTTTTACCACAAAAAAAACTTTTTGGTATGTGACAAAAGCCTTATGAAATCTGACATTGACCCTTGGTTTTACAGTCATCCTACTGAGTAAAAAAAGACCAACAGCTGCCTGGATATAAAACTGTATTAGTGCTGGACTGTTTTACATATATCTTCTCATGTTTTAAGGAGCATAAGAAGCATGATTTTTGGATTTTTCTTAGCTGACAATATTATACACCCATTAACTCTTGAAGAACATGAGACAAGTGATGGGAAAACAATATAGGTAACTTATTTACAGAGAAATGGCTACCTGACCACTTGACCCCAGTGTCCTGCAGTTCTGGCAGAGCCCACGGGTCTTCTTCTTCTGGTCTTGTCTCATCTATCAAAGCTACTGTGGAAAATGCAGGTTGAATTTCCCCTTTATTTCCAAGTGAAGCCACATTGCCTGACAAAATATAACATTTAAAAAAATGTTTAATTACTTTCCATCTTCTCCAAGGATCCCCAAATCCTATATAATTTTTATAACTCAGAGTGAGCACATTACCTTTGTGATTTTCTCCTTCTTTCCCAGCCATGTTCTGGTTTTGTTTGGAAGAATCCCCAATATAGTTATTGGTTTCAGGCTTTTCTACCTCCGGCCAGGGAGCCATGATCTGTGACTAACAAAGTGGTGTTGATTGAAATGCAAGTGCAGTCAAAATATTCACCTTATAAGAGTCTATGTGAAAAATGTGATAAGGATAAAGAACACATGAGATGAGAATTAAATATAAGCAATTTTCCCTTGAACACAAATTTTTACTAAACTTTATGAGTTATTCTTCTATTTGGGAAATTGATTTCTCAATTATTTTCTAATAATAGTTTGTTTATTTGTGTACACATTAAAAAATTATTTCCATCTCACATATACATTTTCATACACTTTTAACTGTCATGAAAGCAAATATTCATCTGCTTTCCAAAAGGTAGGCATTTCTTCTCTTTAATTAACTTTAACTCCTTTCAGCAAGAAGTCAGAGAATTGTTTTATTTTCTTCCTCCTTTTGGATTTAAGCAACTGCCTCGTAATTCAATACACAGACCTTTACCTGGCAATTCAATACACAGAAAGAAATGTTTTAGCAAAAAAATTCTTTCCTAAAGCACTGCTTAGTTTGGGTCGTGAATGCTAAACACAATGCCTTGTTGCCTTCACTGGTTCATTCCCATGGAAACATGAAGAGGAGAATCCTGGACAAGGTGGAAGAAGAGCCCAGGGTTTTGAGCTTGCTGAGTGCCTGGAGAAGAGGACAATTAGAGGGCAGTGGCCATTTGCAGGTCTGTGTTTGCCTGTAAGTCACAGCTGATGCTGCAAACGAAGCTGAGCTGGTAGCAGCAAGGTCCAGCTCACCCATCTCACACAGGCTCTCTCTCTGACCCTCTTCCTTCCTGGCCCCTTTCTGGGCACATTTGACATGCACTGTATTATTAATCAATAATAACTTTAAAAGTTATTACATCCCATGTCCAGATCCTGCCAGCATGGGTGCAAGCACACATGACAGACCTGGTCCAGGCACAAGAGGATGCCAAGCCTGGAAGAGTCCTCCCTATTTACTTCACCAGTATTGGAAGCCAGAGGGAGAGACGTGAAAGAGGGGGGAAGTGGCTATGGAAATATGAGCCAATATGTGCCGCAAAGCTTCTGCCTTTACAGACTTGGTGACATCAGCCAGCACATCCAAAAACTCCGTGGAAAGGATGGGAGAAATGAACCCTGTCCAGGAAAGCCTCACCTTCAGGCCTGTCTCTTCCACCCTCTCTGCCACACAAGTCAGTCAGTGCTGCAGTCAGAGCTGCCCCATGACCAGCACCCACGTGGCTGAAACACTGGTCAGCAAATTTGCCACCAATGCTCCTCAAACAGAGCCCCTGTGCCCAGCCTCCAAAAGTCAGAGCTGGTTTCATGCTCCCATAAACAAGGTTCACCGGCAGTTAGCAGTCAGTCTCAGGGAGTATAATTAGTCATTCATTTAATCATAATCCTTTATGTAGCTGATGGTGAAAATGTTTTGTCCCTGCCCGCATCAGTAAGCCACACATCCTCCTCCTTTAGCTGGGAAGGAGAAGTCACAAAATCACTTGTGTCTTACTGTAACACAGGTGGGTATTGTTTTCTGGCACTCCACAAAGAAAAGAGTATCTCCTCTTCCACATTACCAGGAAAAGTTATTCTACAATTCCATTAGTAAAAACTACACGTTTCACATTCTTTATCTGTGGTGTAAGACCCAGAGCAGCTCCCAAGATACACAAAGATCTTCGAACAGATGAAAGAAAGTCATTCTTGCTTGTTTCAACAAGGGTTCCTATTTGCTTGGAGCAAATTCTCGCATTTCCATCCATGCCAAAACAACCTCCAACCCCACCCATACAAAAACACCTCCATCTTGTTAAACAAGTTTCATTTATATATGTTCAGCATTTAAAGAGCTATTAAAAAATAACTGCCCTGCACCAGTGATTCTTAAGTGAAATGTAATCATGAAAATATATTGGAAAGTCAGATGTGAAGCTGCAACTTATTCCAGCCATGGAGACACGGAATATGCTGGACACCACCATCCCTAGAGATGCCATCAGTACTACAGCTCTTCTGTTACGCTTAGTATGGAAATGAAGGATTCAGCCTGCATTATTACTGTATGGAAACTGAGCTGATGCATTCAGTGGAGAAACTGGAGCTTGAAAACTTCAGGAGACGAACAGCCTCTATGTCTCCTAAATAAAATCGAATTTGGCAGAGCTTTTTTCCATAATAAGCATCTCCCGTGTTCTTGAGGTGCTCAGGAGCCCACAGGTATGTAATGTATTAATATTGTTTTTGCTTTATGTGATTAAACATCATAGAATGAGAGTTAATCACCTCTGTAGAGGAAGTTTTTATAGGTATGTATTTAAAGTCATTCATATGAGCCCTAGCCAACCTCTGATGTGAGAAGGTAGACTTGAATACTGGAAGCCTTTACAGCATTTGCCTTGAGCATTTGGGTTTGCAGAGGCATTACTAGAACAGCCCATGCTGTGTGAGTGGTATTAATGACTGATACTAGCAGAACCATCTATACCCTTGAAGCCCTCCCACAGTTGTCAGCTTTCCCAGATTCCAGCTCTTGTTAAGAGGAACAGCTGAGAAGACAGTGGAGAGACACCTGATACTCTCTGCTGGAGTCCTAGCCACAGCTACTTACTGTTAATTAATCGCTCTGCTACAAAGATAATCTGCATTCTATAGTTTTCCCTTTAAAGAATTTTTCCTTGGCCCAAATACAGACATTAACACCTTGAGAAAATACTCAGAAGACAATCTGTGTGCTGTGGGGGAGCAGAGCAGTGGGGTGGCAAAGCGACCGCATCGCTCCCTGGCTGCTCACGCGCGCCTTTGGAAAGGCTGACGTCAGCTGTGGTAGAAAAGACCAACACTGCTGACGCAAGATACCAGTGACAATGAAAACCCTAATAGTGGTTTACTTCTGAGCACCAAAGACAACTGCATGCAAAGGAACATATTAGAGAGCAGGCCAATGACAACACACGCTGGAACGGCTTGCTGTGCTCAGCTGGACGCACCGGTCCAGGTCCAAAGGCAGGAGAGCCACAATTGCTGGATGAGGCTCTGGAGTGATGAGCTCTGCCCACCCCCGTGCCAGCCCAGGTGCCTCAGTGCCACGCAGCTGGTTCCTGCCTTGGCTGGAAGCACACCAGCCAGGCTGCCTGCACCCAGGGTGCAGTCATGGAACTCACACCAGGGCACTCATTGGTGCTTTGGATATCCACCTGTTGGGAGCGGTACTGAAACGGGAGCTAATTTCCTCCTGAGAGTGGCAGGTCACAATATGCTATGCATATTGCAAAGGTCTGAAAACCAATGCCTGTGCAAGATGTAATCCAGTCCGTTTCAGTGAACCTCGTGGCAAATCCTCTCACACCATCGTGTGTGCTTCTTTCGTTGTGAGTATAATCTTTCCTTGCCTTTGGAAAATGCTAACCATGTGTGACACCCTTTCTAACTTCAAAAGAAACTGAACCTTCCCTCTTCTAAGAGGGAGATAGATGGAAAAAATCAATGGCATTCCAATTCTGAAAATGCGAGAGAGAAAAACTCAGAGCCAAAGTGGGCTCCTGTGGTTTTTATGTCCATACTCTTTCACTACAGCATTTCAAAGAGTTAAAGTCTCTGGGGAATTATCTGAGCAACACTAGGTGTCATGCAGCTGCCCTACATTGCATTCCTCACTGACTCACTGCGCTGTAACAGCTTTGCCTCTGTTGCAGAGCTGCACTCTCTGTGCTTTGCAGTTCTAAATCAGAAACAGCTGTCAATCTATTTGTTTTGCTGGACTTAACACAGCTAAATGAACTACCACCTGTGTGTGCCTGGCCGGTATTGTTCAAACCTCTCCACCCATGACAGCTCACCAAAAGGCCACATTGTGCCTGACATAAGAACTACAGAACAGCAAACCTTAAAGAAATCTCACTCCTGGAGAACAGACCCAGTCAAGATAAAATAACAAGTACTGAAGGAAAGAGCAGTATTTTCAAAACTAACTGATAATAACTACAATCACCAACGTGACCATGCATGCACCTACAGGCTGCTTAAGCAGCTCCATATCAGATTTTGGGTTCAGACAGGCTTTCCCCATTCTCTCTCCCTCTCACTCCCTCCTTCTGTCTCAGCTTTTCTGCAAAAGTGCATCTCTTCCTTATCATTCACCACAGCACTAAAGTTTTTATCTTAAAAAGGGGTTTGTTAGCTAATCTGATATCCAAATATATGACTCAGTAAATATGAATATTTATCACATGTACTTCATAGGAATAAATACCAACCTACATATCAGCCTTTCTTATACAAAGTTTGAAGAAATATTGTCTTTTTACTCTCAAAACGTACCACTTGCAACATAGAAGCACATTATGTAGAGACAGGAAAAGAAAGCCTTTCAGCTAGCACAAATTCATTCAGTAGCTTTACATCAGCTGATAGTTTTGCCCCAGAACCAGTTCCATGGCAGCCACAAAGCCCCAGGTGCAACAGAAGCAGTAACAACTTAAATAAACACCAGCAATTATTCAGCCTGGCTAGGAGCAAGTTCTTGTCTTTGCTCTGGCACCAGCCGCTTCCTTGGGGCTTTTTCTTTGAATAAGGCTTAGCCGGGACGTAAACTTTCAACTCATGCAGTAGTAAAGGCAAGAAGAGATATGCAAAAGCTACAAAAACACTGTGCTCAATTTTATTCCTATGAACCTGTAAGGCTCATTGCTCACAAGCCTGAATCTAACACACAGCAAAACTAAAAAAACACACAAAACAAACTAGAAAAGAGAACTAATATCTAGATATGCGCAGGAAGATAATAAATCCCAAAGATTAATTTTGAATTCACAACCAAGCAAAGCACTGGAGACTGCCCCCAAGGAGCCAGAGCCAGGAAATACCAGTGAACTACTTGAAATGCCTAGTATATATTTAAATAAAACAATTACTTTTTCAGAATAAAATGCCAAGAAAATTAATAACCCCACCAACAAAGAAATAGTACAGATCTACCCCATCCCATAGACAAAATGCATAGTAAAGAATAAAGAAAGGAAAAAATGACATTAAAAAGACTTACTGATCTAATGGAAGAGCTGATAATAAAAGTTACTGAGAAACCAGTTGATTTCTGCCTACTGCCACATTAGTTGAGCAAACTACATCAGAGTCTAATGTATTCCTTTTACCTCCGTGTATCAAACCAAATTAGCATAAGAAAATGTTTCCATCGAGGACAGCCTGACACGGCCGTGGTGAGGCACACAGGCTTTACAGAAGATCTATGCTAACACATGAACTGACCGTATTTCCTTCCAATGTTTCATTAATCATATCCTAGACATTTTCCATTATCCAATATCATTGATTACTATGACTTAAAATCTCACTTATTTTCAAATAATAGTTAAATAAATACTTTCTTTTGATATAGGCTTTCTTTTTTTGGGGGGGGGGGTGCAAGGACTGGCAGCTGCTAACAAAATACTTTATTTCTTTGTCATATTTAATAAGAATAAACCTACATAATTGCAGAAAAAAAGAGAACAGTTTATTTTCAGAACTATGTTTTTTATCACTTCCTTAAAATATAGATGCAGTCAAAGGAAAACAAGGTAAAAATGTTAAGAAGAGGATGACATTTCACATGTCACTCCAGTACCCCATATTACCTCTCTCTTGCCATTTCTTGAACTGCAAAGAAGAGCTTTAGATTTGCAAGCTTAAAAGTTCAAAAGAGAAGAAAAGAAAACTCAGTCTTAGTTGCTTTTACTTACCACGACTTAATTCCGAGACAATAGAGTGAACGGATCAACTGGGCAGCCACTGAAACCTGCAATATATATAGACAGGTGTTGAGCAAAGTTTGCTTTCATCACTGCACACTAACATTCCTATTTTACAGTCCAGAGGCACTGCCTACCTGCAACTTAATGATCACAATAAAACTTTTTTTGCAGGAGTGGGCAGCAACCAACACTGATAAAACTATGGGTTATTTCACACTTATCACATTCTAAAAAATGTCCCATCAGCATTTAAGTACAAGTTACAAATGTGTTCATGTGAGTGCTGGAGAACTAATTGTTCCAGCCTGAAAAATTGCCATCCGCCTGATCATTCAGTAATCTTTTTTCCAATAATAATTTTCCAAAAATATTTTGCAGTCTGAAAAGTCTGTCAAAAGAGTTTGAAGGAGATGTAGTACTGTTATTTGTCTGTTCAGGTGCCTATTAATCTGCCTAAGAACAGAAGTGAAGGAGAATCAGATAAAAACGGTGTAAGTAGGAAACACGTAAGAACTCCTTAGAACAGAGGATGGAGTTTCATTCTTATCAGTGCTCAATGTTTACAATTAAGGCGAGCTCATTAGCATTTTGGCTGTGGCTCTACTTCCAAAGTAGATTTAAAGGTGTAAGGACACCTTTGATAATTGCATTCAGAAGGATAGAGATGAAGACAAATAGATGATAAAGAGATATGTTATTCAATAAACCAGTGTGGTACTATAGATTAGACAAAGCAGCCACCAGCAGTGCTGTCTGTTCTAGTGAGGATCATCTGAACAGGGAGCTGGAGAGCTGGATGGGAGGTGGAGGGGGGGGGCTGCATTAGGCACTGCCTTTATTATCTTTTTTTTCTGTTTCAGTAGGCAACTTACACTGAGAAAATAAGCCTTAAACCAGCCATCTAACCAGCAGATCTGCTTTGTCTGCTTGTATGCAGTCATATCTCCCAGCAGCTTAGTGACTTAGTAACTCAGTAAAGTAAAACTCTTGCTTTTTGCACCTTTCAGTCCCGTGGAGATGCCCAGCCTTTGGAGCGGTGAGTCACAACTTCCCCTTCTCCTGAGTCGGCGTCAGAAATGTTTAATAAGCTGTGGCCATGAGAGCCTCTGCAGCCCCGTGTGCAGCATCACATCCTGGCAGCAGAACCACCAAGCACCTCCCCTGCCTGCAAGTGGCTCTGCTGCTGTGGACCCCACTGCCCACGCTGCACTGGGCAGGGCTGATGGTGTAGCCCAAGGATGGAAGCGTCAGCCCTGCCTCACCCTCCCCACTTGCAGTTCCTACAGAGGTGGAAAGGATGAAAAGGAAACAAATTTCTCTTCTGTGTGAAGTGGGGAACTATCCAAAAGTGGAAAGAAGTAATGGGAAAAGGACCCAAGGTCGTCCTTGGTGATTCACAGGCTCAGTTTCCTTAAAAGAAGTGTACTTTAACATTACATCTAAAAACAGTGCATTTTAAGTCATGCCCAACATGCAGGAAATCAGGTGAATCTTTTAATTGGGAATATTTGTATTTCTTTGAGTTATGGCTTATTCTCTTCTGAGTCACTGGTTGTGAAACCCAGCTCTTCAGAGGGGGAAGTTATGAGATGTGCACATTTCAAGTAACCAAGTACCCTGCCACGGCTCACCCAGAATGTGGTGATGTCCTTGGCAGTGTTTTATTCCAACATTGTTAATCCCATTTGCTAAACACAATCCTAAGTGCAGACCAAGTTAACATTTTAGGAAGAGAAAAATTCTATGTCAGACGTATTGAACTAAAAAAAAACTTTAGGAAAGAAAAAACAGTCATTTATGCAAAGGCAGACAACCTACAGTCTGTCTTTGGAAGTCCAGGGTGAATCTTCTGCAGAGTCACTCTGAAAGAGCCTTCATAAGAGGTTTGTCACAAGGGATGAAGGTGGGTGTTATTTGTCCCAGAAGCCCTCCCTTCATTCAAAATCAAAGAAGCTGGTGTTCTTCCCAGAACACCAGGGCAGTCAGAGCGATAGTTCAGACTGCTTGTCTGGCACACACTCAAAAGATGCTGCTGCTGCTGCTCGGAAGTATAAGGCACTAGCTTCCCAATTTACAGCTTACTTTGAGACAACTGACCTAATTTTAATAAAAATATTGGATAGGAAACACTTAATAAAGTAAAGAAAGCAAGCAAATTTCGAGGGTCCTGGTTTCCTCTAGCAAAGGTGCTAGATTACTCTGCAGCTATTTGGAATAATACCTGTGAAAATCTAGCATTTAGCAGGAAGTGCAAACACAGAAAATGTCTTAAGCACAGAATAACAAAAAATTCCTAGCATGTGCAAATTCTGTGAGAGGTGAACTCTGTCCAGTCACTGTTATATGTTGCAAGAAGTTATGACACAGAAAAGAAACATGTCCACATAACATCTGTGCTACAAGTTCCTTTACAGATCTCCCCCACAAAAGGGGTACCTGCTGTGCAAATGTCAACCCCATGCATTTTTAGAATCCAAGCCTAGTACAGTAAACCAAGTGCACCTAAGTCACAACTAAAACAAAAATAATTAAAAGGAAGTAAAAGAAATGGCCATTTATCCTGCAAAGATGTGTCAGTGCAGTCCAAGATACATATTCACTAACAGTAGTACTAATGTGATGAGGTTTGCTCTTTTAGGAGATGCAGCTTCAAAAGACAAAAAAGGGTCTCACCTAACGTCAGGAGAAAAACTCTCTCTCTCTTACATTTTAATTTCAGTTTTAATATTCCACAAATCCAAAGAATCCACAGCTAAATAATGTACATTCAAAAGCGTGGGAATCTAGAAAACAGCTATATGGCTCTTTCCTGAAGGGAACAGGCATAGTTTCCATCATTTGGAAAGAGAAGTGTCTATTTTCTCTTGTTCAGAAACCTTGACCAAATCTAATTGTCTACATTTGCGAATAACATGAGTGTAAATCAGCCTTCCTTCTTCTGGATATGTAAAACACAACGCTCTGATCATAAAAGAGAGAGGCAAGTGCTGATTTCAATAGGAATTACAGCCAGAAGAGTTATTTGGTTAAGGACTTACACCCATTCAGCTGAAAAATATTTTCCTTCTTTGTGTAGTTACCTGGAAAAATTTAAGTCCTGGCTTTATCTATTGTCTGAAAAGTATTCTTCCTATAAACATTTTAGCAGTGAACCTTATTAATGAAAACACCCATCCAGATGTGGTTTTTGAGTATGAACTTCCATAGTGTACCCAGCTGGGTATTTATTTGGAAACAATATTTGTAGCAGACTTTGACCCTGACATTATATAAGAAGCTTTGACTTTGTAACAGAGGGTAAGTGCTACAACTTTGCTGTTCACTAATTAATTTATTTTCCATTAAGAAGTGTAAATTTGTCTTTGAAGGAAATCATTGGCTTTTAGCTGCCCTGCACTCTTCTGCCTATTACTGCAATACACTCAGAACTTTTTTCCCCCAATATTTCTGCTATAGTTTGGAATAGTAAAGAATAACTCCTAAGTCTACTTTGACAAAAATAAGAAAATCCCTAATTTAATGTATAAAGAAACTGAATCCTATCAGAGGGTTCTCTATTACAATACTGTGCATTTCATCTAACATGAATGATATGCAAACAAATTTAATGGAGTTACAGTAGTCAACATACTTCTAGAACTGAGTAATGAATAAAGTCATAAAGAGAGCATTCAACAGAACCGATGCCAGGAATGGAATGGGGAAATAAAATGTGAACTGAAAGAGTCACAAAGAGAAAAACTACAGAAAGGGCTTTCAGACATAAAAAGGGAAATAAATGTTTCAACGCAGGAGAAATAGTTTTTATGAAGCAACTATATGGCAAACAATTTTAGACAGATAGAAGTGTTTGAAAGGAAAAAGGAAACCTCTTTTAGTCTTACAACAACTGAGCAGTTCCTTCAGTATAAAATAAGTTTATTCTCATTACCACCATGTCTCAAATCTCACTTTTTTTTTGTCAGTACAAATGCATCCTTGGACATGAGTTAAGGAGGTTATTTTGTTCACATTTTCCATGATAGCTATGTTTTCCATTAAAGTAGCTTATTACAGTTATATTTATTGTTCCTGAAGTATCTTATTTTAACATTCTGTTTAGTTGATGTTTTGCTACAAGACGCACAGTTCTCAACATTTGCTGACATGTAAGGGGCTGCTCATCTGGAGCCTGCAGCCCAGGCATTGGGGTGAGAGCTTCCCTGCAGGGGCAGTTCTTCCTAGCCCAGAAGCCCACAGCTTCTGACCCTCTCCCAGAGGAGGCATGGCCAGAGGCAACAAAGCACAGGCTAAAATAGGGCATGAAAAAATAGTACCAACAGTAGCCTGCATTTGATTTCAGAAAGAATGCTAAAAGTTTGCATCATGTAATTTGCTTTGACTGCTAAATCCCAGATAAATTTTTAAACTTTGTGTACCATAGCTGTTTTAAACTTTCACTTCTTGTCTGGAGTGTATACCTAAAAGGTTTAACTAAAGGTTAAGATAATTCATTAAAAAATAATCTCCAAAACAAAGACTTGGTGGTGCTTTGGCATCAGAAATTTTTAATCACAAAAGAAACCCAATATTATTCCCCTCCTGCTAACCTTTCCTTACACTTTTTATAGTCTTTCCCCTAACCTGACCCCGACCCCACACCCATCTTTCCCCACTCCTGCTCTCTCTCTCAACCAATCTTATATTCCACAGCCTCTGGTTACCTCCCACTTTGGTCACACATGAATGCAAGCAGCACCTTCCCAACAAACAAGTGATGGGGAAGAGGAAGAGAAGTGAAAGGAAATGTGAGAGCTCTTAAATAAATAATAATATTCACACTCTTAGGCAAACTTTAATTTACAGATTCAAGTGCTTTGGGAAAGTAAACTATGTTGGCTCCTTTATTATTCACAGACAGTTTAAATATATGCTTAATTTTAAGAAATCCATTGTTTTCCTCCTGCATGATTTGTTAACTCTTGGCTGACACTGGGCATGGTGTTGCTGGTAGCAGGACAAGCAAGTATAATTACTGTCAGCCAGCTGAGCATGATTGCAGAGCCAGAGGCTTCATCTCACCTTTCCCAGCTGTGCACTCCTGAGCCTGAGCTGTGCAGCCTGCTGCCCTCCCCATGCTGCCTACAGGGCAGGGCTCAGGTTCCACACCCACGCCTATTTAGCTTCTCCCCACATTAATTCTGCCAAAAGGCAGATTTGAGAGTGGCATAAAATGAGGATTTTGGACAAAATAAAGAGCACACTACTCATTCAAAGCCATATGCACTAACTCTGTACAAAAATGTATATTTCAAATAAAGTACGAAACACCTCAAACTCCAGGTGAAAAATTACAACCTTTTTCATCAGTGACACTGTTCTATACTTATTGCTGCAAAATGCTTCACAATATCTCATTTCTGAGCCTTCATGAAACAGCTTTTGGACAG